GAGAGCTAGCCCATCATGGTTGTGGTGGTCAAGGTGTTAACAAGATCCTCCTCCATGCTTTGCTCCTTCCTCTTCTTCTTTGATGCTCAAGAGAAATGAGTGTGTGTGTTGAAGTTCTTGGAACCCTTGTGCCTCCACTCTTCTTTTTCTTCTAACCCTAATCTGTTCTTCCTCCTCCTCCTTCGCGTTTTCCAAAGAGAGCGTAATATATCCTTTCTTTTTATTCCCCAAAACTAAAAACTTAATAATAATCTGATAAAAACTCCTAATTAAAATAATGAAAAACTAACCCTAAAAATAATGGGCTTGTTTCTCTTAAGTAACAAACTCTATTAAAGCCCATAAGTTACAAAAATAAGCCCAAAAGACAAAATCCCATAGCCATCAAAACATGTCAAACCCGTAACTTAAATTGTTGCCAGCAACATGTCGTCCGGACGCAGTGTATGGAAAGCTTGCGTCCGGACGCAAGAAATGGCGTCCGGACGCAATGCACTCTGCTGCATCCTTGGCATTTTTCTGATTTCTTCTGAAATGTTCTGGAACTTTCTGCTTGTCTCCAAAAATGCGGTAATGGACCGATTTAAACCCATTTAAACTTTATTACCCTGAAATACACATAAACATAAATTAGGACTAAAACTTAAAAATAAGATAAATGCAAAGACTAAAATACCCTAGCTTAGGTGCTGAAATGTGCAACATTTAAGCACTTATCAATATGCACCTCTCCGCTGTGATCTTTGAAGAAACTGGTGGAAAACCTCGACAAAATGGAGACATCTTTTTATGGATAAATCTGAAGTTGCTTCTCTAATGGCAAATAAATGACAGAGAGATTAAGTGTGGGGAGAATCATGTGTAGTGGTGGAATTAGGGGGTTCTGACAAGAGAGGGTTTCGGAGAAAATGAGAGTTTAAAAAGAGAGTAGAGAACAGAAGATAACTCTGTTCTTTCACAAAATTTGAGTTTCCAACTGAAAAACAAATTAAGGTGCAAAATATCATATCATAGTATCTATTAAGGCACTGTGAAAGTGTAATGGATTTTTTGACGAGTGAGTTTTGCGTAATTTTTGAAAATCTGGATATGGTCTAATTTTTACGAATCTCAAATAAGGTCGGTGTAATTTTACCTTATATTTTTAATATTTTGTTGAGGCCATTAATCGGATTATTACTTTCTAATTGGGCTTAATTAATACTCTTCATACCAATTTGGAGAGATTCCCCTTAACATTTGTAGTTTTCTTCAGCTTCACCAAGCAACAGCAAACTGACCAGTGGTAACAGGAGATCCAAACTTCTACTTGTAGATAGCAATTACAAGAGATTATGCTTCTCAAAACTGAAGCTAAATTTGATTAACTCAATTTGACAATGGATTGCTGCACAAACTAGCTGAAGTTTCAGATTCCTAATGCCGATCATCAATCCATCTACAAGGCCTGATTTGCTGATGCATTAGTATTACATCAGCTACCTTTGTGATAAATATCTATATAACTAAAATGCATGTTGCATTGAACCTGTCTGAATGTTTAATGGAATAAAAACTATCCTCCAAGACCTTATTTGCTGATTGTAGTGAGCCAATTGTCACTTATCACACCGAAAATTTTCAATGAACTGAAGTGCTAAGTAATGGGTCATAACTCCCAGGAACACAATGACAATGCATACACTTTTTTTGATACTAGAAAAATAAAATGTTTTAGCACCAGCTGTCCAGCTTTGGGCTGGCACGCGATACTAAATTCTTCCTTTGACCTGGTTAAATTCATATATAAATTATACTCCTCAAACATAGATGACCATCATAATTACAGGAATTAACTATTTATCTACAAAGTTCAGCTTCTAAGAATTTTCTTTAATACAATCAACGGCCAGTAACAATGAACAATTCAGTGATTGTTGACAAAGGTTTAGAGTCCTTCGACTGGGAAGTACCTCCAAAATGATCCTCTGTCCAATGAGAATCCAACTTTTCAGGAATCGAAGCATGGCCGTTCAAGCACTGCAGAACTTGAGACATGCTTGGCCTAATGGCTGCTGCAGGGTGTGAACAAAGCAGTCCAAGCTTCAGAATTAACTCTAACTCATCCACCTTGAAATCACCTTTCAGTTTGGAATCTGCCGCTATCAAAATTTCCCCATTTCTCCAACATTCCAATACCCAGTCCACCAGAATTATCTCTTCATATGGTGCTTGATGCTCCACTGGTCTCCTACCACAAGCAACCTCCAAACGAAATGCGCCAAATGAAAAAACATCGCTGCTACGTCTTTGATGATTTTAAATCTTTGATTCACGTCCTGAAGCTACGTCTTTGATGATTTTAAATCTTTGATTCCATTTAAGCATGGCATTTGTCATTTAGATAAATTTGTCGAGACTAGTATTAGTCATGAAATCATAGATCAAATAGAGCTCACCTTTTCGTCGACAATAAGCAAGCAGTCTTACCAAATTGGGATGCCGCACTCTCCCAATGGTGGCAATTTCTGCAACAAATTCCTTCATTCCTTGTCTTGCATCGTGTGCAATTCTCTTCATAGCAATTTGAACATTGGACATTGGTAGGGCGCCTTTATAGACTTCACCAAAACCTCCTCTTCCAAGAAGTTCTGTATCTTTGAAACCTTTGGTGGCTAGAAATAGATCTTTGTATTGAAACCTGTGAGGTCCATATTGAACCTCCCAATCTTCCAGTATTTCGGAGTATTTTGCCTTTCTTTTCAACAAGAAAAAAATGATAAAAATTATTGTTGCTGCCAAAATTATACCCATTAAGGACAATCCAATAGCCAGAGTAATCTGTCTTCTTGGAATTTTTTTCATGTGAAAGAGACCAAAGTTGGGAAAGACCAAGCTCCTCAGTTTTCCCATTCAACTGAAAACTCCATCCCTGAACATAATGAGACTGTTGATTTATGCCAATAGATGAAGAAAACCCCACTTACATTTGGTCTAAAAAGACTGGTGATAGATCAATTTTCAAGGACGAGTGGACGATTTGGTTTGTTTATGTTTATGGGTGACAAAGTGACATTAAGTTGTTTCTCAATACCATCGTATTCCACCCAAGCTTGTGTCGGCTCTCCACTCATAAGGCTGAGGTTCTTAAATTCACCATTTTCATTTTTAAAATAGCCTGCAGGAGCGGATTTGATTGATATTATGCTGTTAATATTTATCCCAACATAGTTATCAACTTATCATTGATATCCCCAAATTCTATTTCTTTGAATGTGTCAAACTTGATGGAGACGATATGATTCGATGGTTGTCCATGATTTGTTAGATTGAATGAGCCCATGATGTTGGGAATCTCCAACTCCAGGGATCTCTTTTGAGGGAGCAATGACAAAAGCCATTCTGACTCCTTTGCAATTCTATATTTCAGGGACAATTTCAAATACAAACATAGTGGGGAAAGAGAGGATTACCAGTTAACGAATTCTTGAAGCTGAACGGAAGGGAGTAGAAAGTATGGATTATTCCCCATGATGTTTCATTGATGTGCTTGAAGAGACCATCAGGTATAATTTCTGCTTCTCCAACTAGTTTGAAGCTTTTGTAAAATGTGAAACCATTATCATAAGAGGATACCACTTTGATAAGGAGAAAGAACAATAAATGAGCCCTAGACAACATGAATCAAAATATGTACTCTGCTTCAAACTATTTGTTCTTCTCTAAAGGTGCATAGGATTATGAGAGATTGCTAAATTATCCTTAAAATGACTTCAGCTGGGCAATTTCTTGTCTTGTGTTGTGCATGTAGTAATATAGAGTAGATGAACATGACAGGCATTACTGTAAAAGAATAAGCTGTAGAAATTCACTCTGTGAAATCAATGAAAGTAAAGTAATTCTTGTTATGAATTCAATACCTATCATTCCCCAATTTCCTTTCTTTTTCTTTTTTTTTCCTAAATAATTTCCTTTCTTTTTCTTGGTGCCTTGCTTGACAAGATTTTGGATAGATTGAGAATAAAAAATTCTAAAGGGATGAACTCCATTTCAACAAATATTTTAAAACTCAATCACCACTAAAGCTATATCAGAAAACATCTTACCTCTTTGGCAGACACTTTTATTAGAATAATGTGAGATAAAGATTTTTCACCGGTCTTTTAGAGTTGGCTGAGGAGCAACCATGGCTACCCCATGAAACTTGAAATCATGACTAGATCATTTACGCCCCATCACTTGGGTTTTTGATTTCATGCCTTCATGCAGATGAGGTTTCATGTTTCCTTGTCAATGGCTACTGGTTGGTTGTGTCTTTTACCAAAAAAAAAAAAAAAAAAAAGATGAAGAAAAGATGGTTGGCTTTGTGTCTTTGGGTTACTTTTCATGCCAATACACGTACCCACACTTACAAAAGAAAAAAAATGGTGGTTCTTTTTGAATAGTGCCACGACAACTTTTAAGAAATTTGGACTAACTTTTATTTTTAATCAAGTTTAGAAATCGGGTCCGAAAGCAGGCAATTTGGATCGACTTTTATTTAATACACCCGAAGGAATTGTTTGCACCTAACAGGAATCGATTCTGAGACCTAATGCTTCATGAGGAACCAGAGCCCAAGTCTTTTTCCAACTAGGGTAACCCTTAGGGTTATGCTATATATCTGTTTGACCCCAAAAATGTAAAAAAATTACTAAATAACAAGAATGTCCATTAGTATTTATGTTATATAACTGTTTAAATCCCCAAAGATGCAAATTTTACTAACTATTTTTGTTACATGTTCTATTAGTCAGTGGGTGATTGATCACTTTGATTTCTGCATGTTCGTTGTTCGAAACAAGAAGAAAAACACACTTCACTTCCATATTAGGAGACATTTATCCCCAGCCAGACTACCAAGCACATTGTTCACATTTTGCGAGAATATTGGTCTTCCATTACTTGATTTCCTTCTTTCTTACTCTTATCATTTTTTTCTTATGCATATATATATACACACTATATATATTATACAACAGTTCTTGGTAAAATTTTCTACCCCCAGTTTGTAAAACTCTCACCTCATGTCATCAGTGTAGATCATCATAATCGATCTGCCTTCCTGTGCTCTTTTAACAGTAGTTCGATTTAAGATGTATAAAATGTGGATCCACCCAAAAATAGAATATACAAATTGGAACCGTTTTAATTTAGATGGTGGGTTTTTTGTAAGAGAGGGAGGAAGGGAGAAATACCAATTATTTGTGTGCAAGAACATCTTACTGATCTAAATTTCTCCCAAACGAAATGGTGTCTGTAACTCTTACCTGTGCGTAGGAGATTGGATTGGAAACTATGTAATGACCCTTGATAATTGAAACCAGGGGAGTTTCGATATACTACATAATTCAATATCGCACCAATACTGATATGACAGGTGCACTAACGCTCATTAAAAAAATGAAAAAGAAAAATAAAAAACACCCTCTATGGTTCACCAAATACTTCAATTGTCCATGAGGTTAATTACTGAAACAAATCTGCCTCCAGAGAGAACTGATTCTGCAGCAGAGGATGAGTGTGAAAATGCCTCTCTCCATAGAATTTGGATACTATATTGCAAAATCATCGAAGCCTTCACGATGTGCAAAAGTTAGGCCAGCGGCAGTTATACGGAGCGATGCCAACTCTGGCAGAGGAATGTCACCCTCCAAATGTTGCACAACTTGCCGCATAGTTGGCCTAACCACCGGCTCTGAATGAGAGCACTGCAAGCCAAGTTTCAACACCAACTCCACTTCCTCTGGCATATAGTTGGTACTCAATTTTGTATCAACTGCCCGAAGAATATCCCCTCCACTCCAACAAGCAAACACCCAATCAACCAAAATTAGATCCTCAGCTGGTGCTCGCGGCTCTATTGGCCGTCTTCCACAAGCAACCTCAAGCAAAAATGCTCCAAAAGCATACACATCAGTGCTTGGTGTGGCTTTGCCGGTCCTAGTGAGCTCCGGGGCTAGGTACCCAAATGTTCCAACCACATGGGTAGTTTCAGGAACAGTTCCATGTTGATACAATCTTGCTAGGCCAAAATCCCCCAATCTCCCGTTTAATTCTCCATCCAACAGGACATTACTAGCCTTGATATCTCTGTGAACCACAACTTGTTCCCATTCTTCGTGCAGATAGAAAAGCCCTGATGCTACACCTTTGATGACTTGAAATCTCTGGCTCCAATTCAGGGTGAACTCTGGTTGGTCATACAAGAACTTGTCTAAACTTCCATTGGGCATGTAATCATAGACCAAAAGCAACTCTCCTTTGCGCCTGCAATAGCCCAAGAATTGTACTACGTTGCGATGGCGGAGCCTGCCAATACTAACAATTTCTGCAACAAATTCCTTCATACCATGTCTAGATTCACGAGAGACCCTCTTCACTGCTATTTCAGTTTTAGAGGTAGGTAATACACCTCTGTAGACCCTTCCAAATCCTCCAGTTCCCAACAATTCTTTGTCTCGAAACCCCTTGGTAGCAATATATAGATCTTTGTACTTGAATCTATGATGCCCATAGGCGAGCTCCCAATATTCTAGTTCTTCTGCATACTTCCCCTTCCTTCTAACATAGTAAACTGTGCCTGAGACCACTGCTAACACTAAGACTACACTAATCACAGGTATCCCAATTGTCAAAACTCGAGGGGTTTGCTTTGGTCCAATTTGAGAAAGCTTGGGAAGTCGAGAGAGGTCGAGCCCTTGAGCATGGCCATTCATCTTGAAGCTCCATCCTAATATATAATGGAGTGTTAGGAGTGAGCCACTGGATGATGAGAAGCCAACGTACATGGTTTCGTTGATTATAGGCGAAAGATCATAGTAGAAGGACAGAAGTGGTGTATTTGGTTTCTGGACATTAACAGGAGCTAGTGTGACATTCATGACTTTTTCCACACCATCATAGACCACCCAGATTTGCATCGGATGGCCACTAATAAGGGACAAGTTCTGGAACAGACCATTATTAGGTGCATAATAACCTGCTGGCTCGGCTAGTTTGGAATTCAACCCATTAATGTCAATCCCAACATGGTTGTTGTTAATATCATCGAACTCCATGTTCATAATTGTATCGAGCTCTACAGCGACAACTTGGTTAGTGGAGCTGCCATCGTTCGTCTTATTGAAAAGACCAAGGTATGTGCTTGGAAGAGCACCGGGGAGGCCTCTTGTTGGTGCAATAACGAAAGCTATTCCGTGACCACCCGTGGTTGGATATTTGGGGATCATGGCAAAGACAAAAGTGGTGGAGAAGGAGAAAGTAGTGTTTGATGAATTCTTGAAGTTAATTGAGCAAGGGTAGAAGGCATGACCCAGTTGTTGTACCGTGTTATTGGTGAGCTCCAAGAGGCCATTGGGCGTGAACTTTGCTATGCCGTCGAGGCTCAGACTGTCCGATGGGAAACCATTGTAGGTGAAACCAAGATCTTCAGTGGCTGCCAAGTCAAGACAAACCAGTAGTACAATTACAAGTTTGGAGGACATGGCTAGAGTATGGAAACCACTCTTCCTAGGATTGGTCATCTCCTTTTGACAATGTGACATTTGATTCACTGTTTCAGTGGTTCGTCATTTGTCACTGGTAGTGGACCAGTCTACGCCGGAAGAAGATATTCTTATGGAAGAAGAATAAAATTGGTCTCACCTACTTATAATATTTGTTTTCAACCAGATACATTGGACTAGACTGTCACGGTAAACTGGGTGACTGACACCGTGAGTGCATATGCAAAAACTTGGCAATAAAAGAATGAAAGAAGAATGACACAAGTTTGAAAAGAAAAAGAGAAGTGTGTGATTGAAGTAGATAAATTTTACTATCAAAGGGATTTAAAGAGGGAAGTAAGGAAAAATTAAAGAGGATTTTAGAAACTAAAATAGTTTTAGGGGGATGTTATGTATATCATGAAAGCCATTCTAAGTATCGCGAGATTCTGAATGTCAAGGATAATATCAAATTCAAACATGGTGGGGATAGAAAGAGCATTATCAATTAATGAGTTCTTGAATTCTGGAAAGCACGGGTACTCCACTTAAGGGTGCGGGATATCTGGATACGTGTAGAAGTGTCCTAAATATTTTATTTTTTCCTAAAAACGGCTAGTATAAAAGGACATGTGGCCAGTGATTTTGTAATTATTTTTAAAAAGTGGGATTTAACGCAATTAGAAATATATTATGAGTTAATTACAAAAGTAATATTAAATTTAAGAAGTATGAGAAGGCCATCTGGTGCAGTCTCTGTCCTCGACTATTTTGAATTTTTCATAAAAAATGGAAACCATTGTCACAAGAGGACCCCACTTTGATGAAGTGGAGAAAGAGGAATAAACAAGTCTTGGATAATTGGAAAATTGTTTTGTAAGAAAAAAACATTGTCTTCTTCGTCTTCCTCGTGTTCTATACTCTACGTTGAAAAGTATGACGAGAAGTTTCTAATTAATAATAAATTTATCTCATATGTCTGAATTGTTTTTGTTGCCATGCATGACTTGACCTAATAAAAATGAATTGTTCGCCGACAATTTGGACTTCTAATGTGTGGAGTGTTTGACCTGTCGGAAGTTCACTCTTAGCATAAAGTCAAGTCGCCTCGTGGAAGATATGTGCAGGAAGGAGCCATCAGCCATGTGGGATTCTTCTTTCTTTTTCATGATGCCATGGTTGACATGGCGTAGCATGGACTTTGAAATTAAAAAAAAATCTAAAGTTGGAATTCCGTCTTAAATTATATACTCCTCCGTCCCTTATTAGTAGTTTATTTTTATTTTTTTTTACATATTCCAAATTAATTATCTTCTTTAAAAAGTCAAAACATCTTTTCTTTATGTTTTCATCATTTTCTTTTATCTTTTTAAAAATTTTCAAACTTTATGACTATATATATTTAAATTGAAAAGAATAATTTGGTAATTTTAAAAGGGACAATATATTAATTGCGTGTTTCCTTAAAATGTTATAAAATAAAAGATGGACAATTAATAAGGAACGGAGGTAATATATATATATATATATATATATATATATATATATATATATATATTATTTTTATTTTTCTAATATTCAACAAAAGGTCTAGATTGAGTTTGAGATCGAGTCCATCTTAATGAGTAATTTATTTTTGTTTGATTTTGCTTATTTTTTTTCTTCATAAATATTTTATGACAACTAAACACAAAAAAAATGATTTTTTTTTTTTGGTAAATTACATAGACCTCCCCTCTAGTTTGTCATAATTACAGGGATCTTCCATCTGGTTTGAAAATTTACTCGGACTTTTCCTAAAAATGAAATTAATTTACACTGACCTCCCTTCTATTAGAGTCAACGGCAGTCAATGGCAGATTAAGTTGATGTCGTGTACTAAATTATGTAAAATGCCTATTTTACCCTCCATTTATCTCAAATCTACTCATTTTCTCTCTATATATTATTCAACCAACAAACAGGGCCGACAACCAGAGAAAGCTTCCAGCGACGAGCTTCGACGAAGGCTATGATAGATTCGGCAGGCAAGCTTTTGATTGGCGAGCAAATACCAAAAATTTCGATGGTGAAAGACACAGTATCTGTGACGAGGACGGCGGCCAGAGAGAAGTTTGGATCCTTTTAATTCTCAGTGATTCCGGCAAAAGGAATAGTGGCTGCGAACGATCGGGTTTGTGGGTATGAATTTTGCAATTGGGTTTGGCTACTGTGATTTGTGGTTGCAGAAATTTTCATCCTTTGACTTCTGTAAATTACAGTCATTGGCTTCATTTTATTCTCATCTGCCTCTGGAATCATCACAGAAACGCCAACGTAATTAGTTGCCGGAACAAAGTCACCATCAGTTATACCAACACCAATAACCCTTAGTCACTATCGACATCACCCTCTCAACTCGATGCTCGTCGAAATATACAGACAAATCCTCTAAGTCTCCACCATGTCAAAACTCCATTGAAGACCAACAAGAGAGGTCATCAACAACTCAAAAACATCGATAAAACAACATAGAGACTTCAAACAAACCCAAATGGGAAAAGATTCAAGCGTCGTCAAACCAGCGATGGTCCACTACTCGTCAGTAATGGCGTGCTTGTTCGGATCAACGTCGCCGTCGGTGGTGTACGAATCGGAGAAGTGAGGAATTGATGCTCGTCAATGTTGGCATGCTTGTTCGGATTAACACTGTCGTCTTCGACGGTGTACGAATCGTTATTGGGTCGAAGCCGAAGCAGTATTGGGTCTCATTGCCGTTTCTTTGATGGCCAGTTCAATTTCCTGATAAGATACACACACACACATATGGGTTTATTAGGATAGAGAAAGAGATGATATGAGAGATGGAGAGAGAGATGGGTAGTTTAGCCATTTATTCTAGTAACTTTAGGGTATTTCAGTAAATTAAACAAGTCTGTTAATCTATTTGACCGTCCGTCACTAGGAGGGGAGGACAGCGTAGATTAGTTTCATTTTTAGGGGATATCCAAGTAAATTCCCAAACTAAATGGGAGGTCCCTGTAATTATAACAAATCATATGAGAGGTTTGTATAATTTATCCAAAAAAGTTTAAAAAACAATTTTAAGGCGAATACAACTCTTTGTGTTATATGTTAGTCAATTTGATTATTGTATATTAGTGTCCTTCGACAGTGCTCTCACTCTCTTATATATATATTTTATAGAACAGTTTTCAGTGAAAATATTCTACCCCTAGTTTGTAAAAATAGACTCTCACCTCGTGTCATTAGTGTAGATAGTCATAATTGATACATTCATTAGATATTTGTGATGTGTAAAATGTGATGACCCTGTGGACAGGTGTGCCGTGGGCGGGTATGAGACACTGTCAGACTACCACACTGGCGAGTTACGGGTACACAGTCCCACAACGCCTGGGAAATGGAAAGGTGAAGTGCTTATATGTATGTGTGTCACTCCAATTGGTATGAAGCCTTTGGGGTAAAACCCAAGAGCAAAATCGTGCAGGCTCAGGCTCAAAGCGGATAATATCATACCATGTGGTGGAGTGGGTCGTTACAAATGGTATCAAAGCTTGACCCAATCGAAAGTGTGCCAATGGGGACATCGGGCCTCCAAGGAGGGTGGATTGTGATGACCTTGTGGGCGGGTGCGAGACACTGTCAGGTTATCACACTGGCGAGTTACGGGTGCACAGTCCCACATCGTTTGGGAAATGGAAAGGTGAAGTGTTTATATGTATGTGTGTCACTTCAATTGGTATGAGGTCTTTTAGGGTAAAACCTAAGAGTAAAACCGTGCGGACTCAGGCGCAAAGCAAACAATATCATATTATGTGGTGGAGTGAGTCGTTACATAAAATGTGGATCCACCCAAAATAGAGCATATAAATTAAAAACAGTTTCAATATAGATGGAGGATTTTTTTAGAGGGGGGGAGAAATATCAATGATCTGTGTGGGCAAGAATGTCTCCCTAATCTAGATTTCTCCCAAACAAAATGGAGTTTGTAACCTTTACCCGTGCATACGAGACTTGGATTGGAACTGTGTAATGACTCTTGAAAATTGAAATCAGAGGATTTGTGATTTACATTATTCTATGTCGCGCCAATATGCATAAGCAGGAAAAAGAGAAAAATTAAAATTAAAATTAAACTTCCTATCACCAAATACCTCAATTGTCCATGAGATTAATAACTGAAACAAATGGTCTAATATTATCGGCCTCCAGAGAGAAGTGATTCTGCAACAGAAGAAGATGTTTGTGAAAATAGCTTCCCAATAGAAGATGGATATGATATTGCAAATTCATCAAAGCCTTCATGGTGCCCAAATGTTAGTCCAGTGCCAGTTATACCAAACGATGACAACTCTGGCAGAGAAATACCACCCTCCAAATGTTGCACAACTTGCCGCATTGTTGGCCTAGCCATCGGTTCTGAATGAGAGCACAGCAACCCAAGCTTCAATACGAACTCCACTTCCTCTTGGACATAGTTGGTACCCAAGTTTACATCAACCGCCCTAAGAATATCACCTCCACTCCAACAACCAAACACCCAATCAATCAATATTATATCCTCAGCTGGTGCTCTCGGCTCTATTGGCCGTCTTCCACAAACAACCTCAAGCAAAAATGCCCCAAAAGCATACACATCAGTACTCGTTGTGGCCTTGCCGGTCCTACTGTGCTCCGGGGCAAGGTACCCAAAAGTTCCAACCACACAGGTCGTTTGAGGAGCAGTTCCATGCCGATACAATCTTGCTAGGCCAAAATCTCCCAATCTCCCATTAAATTCTCCATCCAACAGGACATTGCTAGCCTTGATATCTCTGTGAACTACAACTTGTTCCCATTCTTCGTGTAGATAGAAAAGCCCTGATGCTACACCTTTGATGACTCGAAATCTCTGGCTCCAATTCAAGGTGAACTCCGGTTGGTCATACAAAAACTTGTCTAAACTTCCATTGGGCATGTAATCATACACCAAAAGCAACTCTCCTTTGCGCCTGCAATAGCCCAGGAGTTGTACTATGTTGCGGTGGCGTAGTCTCCCAATACTAACAATTTCTGCTACAAATTCCTTCATACCCTGTCTAGATTCATGAGAGACCCTCTTCACTGCTATTTCAATTTTAGAGGTAGGTAATACACCTCTGTAGACCCTTCCAAATCCTCCGGTTCCCAACAATTGTGTGTCTTGAAACCCATTGGTGGCAATATATAGATCTTTGTACTTGAATCTGTGAGGTCCATAGGCAAGCTCCCAATCTTCTAGTACTTCTGCATACTTCATCTTCCATCTAACATAATATGCTGTGCCTGAGACCACTGCTAACACTAAACCTACACAAATCACAGGCAACCCGATTCTCAAAACTCGAGATTTTTGCTTTGGTCCAATTCGAGGAAGCTCAGGAAGTCGAGAGAGGTTGAGCCCTTGAGCCTGGCCATTCATCTTGAAGCTCCATCCTAATATATAATGGTTGGTTGGGACAGCAGCAGTGGACGATGAGAAGCCAATGTACATGGTTTCATTGATTACAGTCGAAAGATCATAGTGAAAGGACAAAAGTGGAGTATTTGGTTTCTGGACATGAACAGGAGCTAGTGTGACGTTCATGAACTTGTCCACACCATCATAGTCCACCCAGACTTGCATCGGCTGGCCGCTAGTAAGGGACAATTTCTGTAACAGACAAGGACAATTATTAGGATCGTAATAGCCTGCTGGCATGGCTACTTTGGAATTCAACCCATTAATGTCAATCCCAACATGGTTGTTATTAGTATCATTGAACTTCTTGTTCTCAATTACATCGAGCTCTACAGCAACAATGTGATTAGAGGAGTTGCCATCGTTGGTCTTACTGAAAACACCTAGGTATGTGCTTGCAAGACCACCAGGGAGGACTCTTGTTGGTGCGATCACGAAAACAATTCCATGACCAGCCCCTAGCGGATGCTGGGCGATGATGGCAAAGACGAAAGTGGTGGAGAAGGAGAAAGTGGTAGTGTTTGATGAATTCTTGAAAGTAATTGGGTTAGGGTAGAAGGCATGACCCGTTTGTTGTTCGGTGTGATTGGTGAGCTGCAAGAGGCCATTGGGGGTGAACTGGGCCATGCCGTCTAGGCTCAGATTGGCGGATCGGAAACCATTGTAGGTGAAACCAATATCTTCTTCAGTGGCTGCCAAGCCAAGAAGAGTACTATTACTATAGAGCAGTAGTAATATTAGAAGCTTGGAGAACATGGCTAGAGTCTGGAAACAGTTCTTGATTTCCCAGAAATGATCATTGCTGTATGAGATTATAATAAGATAAGATGTAGGTTCACCCATGTGTACTACTACTGTCAGCCAAGAATTTGTTTCAGGGCTTGGTTACCATATTAAGCTGGATAAAATAATTTCTTTTCTAACTAAACAGTGCACTGACAGTGCCCTGCCAAGAAGTTAGTGACTTGTTCATTTTTTCACTGTTAACAAATATCCAAAATAAAAAACAAACTCACTATCACAATCATCAACAGCACAGGTGGTCCATGATCTGATTTCATTAAATCATTATTATTCCATTCAATATTGTGTCATTTCACGCGGTAACCAAGTCCACAGGTTGTATCATTGGTTGAAAAAAAAAAAAAAATACTCCCTTCAATTATCAAAAATTACCATTTTACCTCTTTGAGTTACAAAAGTGAACAAATTGGTACAATAACTATCAAAACCATGCATATTGTTCCCTGTCTGTCGGGGGTGGAACCGGGATTTAAATTTGGGGGCCACAGTATCCGAGAAAAAAAAAAAAAAGGAAATGAAAAATGACATAAGTTTAAAGAAATGAATTAAAGTATGATTGAATAAGGAAAATTTAACTTTTTTTAAAAGGAAATTAAAGAAATTTAAAAAATAGATGAGGAAAAAAAAAAGAAGGAAAAAGTTAAGAGAATTTTAGGAATTTAATATTTTTAGGAGGGCTTAATATATAAATTTCTATATATATGTAAAAATAATTTTAAAATTCATATATGTTATATAAGGGGGCAGGCTAAGGGGAGCACATGTCCCTAGGCCCCTTTGGGCACATTTTCAGTCAGCAGCAGCACGTGAGTTGTATATTTTTACAATTCTATATTTGCCTTCAATTTGATCTTGTAACCCTCTGCCTATAAAATAACCCACCACATCTCTCTCTCTAGCACTATTTTTTCTCTCACCATCATGTTCAACCCCACTTCTTACTCACAAATTACACATATTATACAAATATGTGTCAAGTTGTCAACGGAACACTTAATTCATTATAGAAGCTTCGCCACCACCGGCCACTCCACTAAAACAAGGTTAGTATGTCCAAAGATCTTCAATCTTTGGAGAAAAAAATGTCTACCTATCTCTAAACAAATTGGGTGAGCAATTCCAATACCAAATTTTCTAGCCGTAAGGTATGACAATGAAAAGAGGAAGAAACAAATTGGTTTCTGATAAGCCTTAGCAATCAATCTACTACCAATCTGCATTACCCCATATGTAAAAACACAAATAAAATCATATATATTATATATTTATATGTAAATACCCTGATACGGACACACACACACACACAAATTTACTGTCAATCTGTATAACCCAATATGTAAAAAAACACACACATATATATACACCCACACACATAAGACACAAACATGCATAAAAAGATTGAGAATGATGAAAAACCAATTGTATTCTGAAACAATGAATGAGGAACAGAAATCAATAATAAGGTGTAACGACAATAACCTGTTGGCCTCTGCTAGTAGCAATCCTGAAAAATCAATAAAAACGAGTGATTGGTTAGAAAAGAAAAAAAAGAAAAAATTGATTTGCAGATAATGCAATACCGGCAATGGAGAGTGAACTATATTGAAGTAGATTGGTTAAAGTACCGAGCTTTGGAAGCAACGTTTCATGCAAAACGGTACATGTTCTCTTGAATCGAAAGTAAGAGACTTGATTCCGTGAAGAAGTTGTTAGTGTACGCAACTTTTCGCAATTTATCATTTTTTCGGTATTATTTAATTTTTTTGGATTATTTAATTTTTGTGCCTCGTTTTGCATCTCACGCACCAGTTAGCGTGTCACAAGGGTTCCGAGAGTGATTTAGGGCAAGAGAGTTAAAAACACACTTTGAAATACCCAGAATGCCCCAAGATCAGAAAAGGATAAGAGAGTTAAAAAGCTGCTATAAGCAAAACAGAAAACTGAACTTTGCATGAGATTTCCAGCACCAACACGACATTTTTCTGGAAAAACACGAAGATGAAACCCTCCCTAAAACCACGTTTTCTAAGTGACCATATCAAGGCCGGAGTTTATTTCCCGAAGGAAAACCCCAAAATGCCCTTAAACTGTATTATACAAGAAAATTGTAAAATGAGTCTATAGGAAGCTTAAATCACAAAGGAAAGGGTTTTTCTTGAAAACGATCATGCACACAGACGTAACTTACCTATTAGGACACGCTATAATGACCCACGGCGTAAAAATACCGCCGATGCAAAATATGACCCCCCGACGGCCAAAATGGTTAAAATGAACTAGAAATGAAAATTTTGAAAACCAAAATTAACAAATGATCTCAAATTACCGTTTGGCCCTTGGCCACACTTTATACACGATTAATGAGACCCTATGAAAGAATAAAAATGGAATTCCCATACTCGATGCAAACATGGTGAAGCAATGATTTGCGATTTTTCAATATTTCATAAAGTCAAGAATTACATAAGATGCAATATAAATGTCATTGGCCTCCGGCCTCATCTCACACAAGTCAAATACGTTACAAAAGGTGTACTTAAGTACACATTACATATATGGAATTAAAGATACAAGTTTTGACATAGAAAGTCACTAAATAACATTTCAAGCTAACATTTGCATAAAATGGAAATTTAAAAGTTACAAGTCATCCAAGGAATGATGAGTATTACAAACCAAGTCTTCGTACTTGAAAAATATCCCCAGTAACTTCGGGGTGAGTAACATAAAGTTACTCGTAGGAAATGAGCATATATCGACCTAACATTTTACAATAATATTACCTTAAGGTGAAACATGTTAAAGGGGAACATGTAACTTAATGTCTATGTCAAAATGAGACTCAGGGAGCATCCTAAGCTACCTTAGAGTATCTCTAGCATAAACCACATCATTCATGCAATTTAAACAACATAGGGGCATATTGTGTAACGCAACGAGATATAGGTATCCAAAGTTATCAACTTTTAACCTAGAATGCGATAACTATTGAACGGTTCATGCCACCTAGAATCTAAGTCAAGATGCTTACATAGGATCTTTCCTAAGTCATATCAACATGAAGCAACATGAATCAAGATATCTATGAAATTAAACAAGGTTGGGATAATCCAAGGAACACGACCAGTTTATAATTTAACATGAGTTACATTATCAATGTAATTGAACAAGGTTTGGAATAATCCATATAACACGACAAGAATGGTACTTGAATACAAGGATCACATTATCAATGCAATTAACATGATTGGAACATTTCAATTTACACAACAAGAATAATACATGAAATCAAGGGTAAGGCATAATATATATGTAATTAACAAGATTGGAACATTTCACATAACACGACAAGTTTTAAATCTTCAAGGAATAACCACGTTTCATAACCAAGTTCTAGCCATGTCAATTCTTAATTGATATCCCAAGTTCCAAAATCAACAAGTTGTGTAAATCAAGATAGTATCAAGATACAAGTAATGCATTAACCACGTTTCATGCACAACCAAGATTTTGGAAACACACAAGTCATGCCCTAAATTCTCAACTATGATGGCATGTGAAATGTCAAGAGATCATGGTATGCATCTACATAGATTACAAACTAGAATTTAAACTACAAGAAATCCATTGATGTAAAAATACCACAAGTATAAGATTAATGATTTAATTATTTACTAAGCAATACATGGATAATTAAATCATTCCAAGACAATTGTACTAGTTCATTAAACACATTAATGGAGTCAAGTTACAAGAAGTCTAGATACATGATAAAAAGTTAAAAGCCCCATGAAATAAGAGTTACAACCATGTGAATTAAGTTCCATACAAAGAAAATAATTAAATATAAGTTTCAAAACTTATCCGATTATTCTCAAATTAATACACGTGAAGGAACTTGTCAAAGAAATCATGAATACCAAGTTAGAACTTAATTAAACTCATGGAACCATTGAATATGTTTTAATCAATTCTTTTAATTAAAATATCTAAATTTCAAAATTCATCCAAATGCTCTCAAATTAAAGTATGTTATATAACATGCCAAGACTTGATTTAACAGTCTAATACAAATGATTTCCATGGAAGGTATAATCATGATAATTAAATTTTCATGCAAGAAAAATAATAAATGAAAAGTTTCAAAACCTAATCAAATATTCCCGATTTAATATATGTGAAAGTATATGGCATGCATATCAATAATATCAAGTCGGAAATTCAATTGAGTGAATAGTGCAATTGGAATAAATTAATTAATTATCTCTAGATTTTAAAATATCTTCGAATGCTCTCAAATTCATATATGTGGAAGAATATACTAGGGCCTAATATAATATGACATTACATTTTGATTTCAAGCTAGATAAGGCCACGTGAATTAAATTTTCATTCAAAAAAATATTAAATAAAAATTTCAATACTTGTCCAAATACTCTCAAATTAATATATGTCAATGATCATATTAAGGTGTAATATAATAGCATGCCACAAGTTTAAACGAAGCTATAACCAACCGGAAAATCAAATCTCACACAAGAAAAATAAATAATAAAATCTCTAGATTTAATACAAAGACATGTAATTGAGTTGTATAAGCATCAATAGCATGCAATACATCAAGAATATAAATTATAACACCCCCTACCTCAATTTGAGATTAAAATCTCAATTCCCCACCGAAAGAAAAGTGCTCCAAATCCGACGATACCGCTGGGTTATGTCGGGGACAACGAGAGGAACAACTTTAACTTTTGAGGTACCATGAAAATCTAAACCCGAACTTAAAACCCGAACTCAAAAGTGGTCAGAAACGGATTCTAAAAAGGGGAAAAGGTAGAGCACGACGAGGCTTACGGTAAACGTTAAGGCGGAAGACTTTTTACAAAGGAAATCAAGTGAAGGAGAAGAAGAAAAGGTGGCAGCCCAAGGGGCTACCATGGCTGCCGGCCAAAGAGTGGAGAAGATGATGAAAAATCAGATTTTTGACTTTAAGTCAATCTATTTATAGTAAAACCCTAAAAGTGCACCGGAAGGGTCTTACCGGGTCCAGAAAAGTGGAATTTGAGCAGACGCGCTCAAACGACGAAACTCCATGAACGAAAAAGAACCAAAATGAAAAAGAAAAAAAAA